TGGTCCTGGGCGTCCCCTAGGTCGACTCAGCCTCAGAATGAGTTCCCGGCGCGGCGTGTAAAAATCGCCACTGGGGAGACAAAGGCGGCCGGGCGTGATGCTGGCCACCCCACCGTTTCAAGTGTCGTCCATGCCTTAACACGTGTTCGATAACAGAACTTGCTCGAACAGTAGGAGGCTACACGAGGGATGTTTTGTATTTGTGGATGGTTGTGTAAATGATAAATGGAAGGATGCATCAAAATGTATTCATAGATTGAACCGATTCTTACGCTCATGGTACAAACATCAGATCGCTAAATGCTCGCTAACAGCATTTACCCCAACAGTCTGCTAAGCCTATCCTGGTGATCTTTGTATGTTCATGCTCACGCAAACGCACACCTAAATAATTCACACAGGCTCATAGTCCACACTTAAGTGCGATAATCTCTCGGTGAATTGTTGTGCAGTATGGGCAGTGCATTCCATTACACGCGACAAAGATTCACCAAACTTTTGACGGCAGAAAATCGAAATATTGTACTTATACACACACACACGTACGTATGCGCGCGCGGCTTTAACCTGGTTCGTTAACATAAATGAAATGAATGTGGGAACATGAATGTCGTGTTAATGTTCAGGTAAATAATTTGCGTTGCGTACAGGTAGTAATTTGCATAAATCCGAACATTAAGCCGAAAATTAAGCCGAACACTTACACGTCAGGCTTTACACTTCATTAATCGGAACATTAAGCCCAACACGCAAGTGTCATCACGCCCAACAACTTAATTTATTTGCCAAATTCTCAGCATAGTTTTATTCGTACGCATATTTTCGTACGTTATTTCCGTCACGGCATAGATAGACACACGTAACATATTTGTATAGTGTATATTGCATCTCTGGCTTCTGAAGAATGTGCATCCGCAGTGTTTTTTTTTTGCTTTAGAAGGCCGTGAGGAAACACACCAAGGATGAAAAGTGTCCAAAACCGGTGCCAACGAGTTTGCCCAAGATCTGGATCTATATTGGGATGTTTATGCAACTACGTTAATTAGTGTTTGCTAGTACACGTGGGAGTAAACCGGAGTTACCTGAGAAAATCTCAGTGTCACAACACTCAATCCCTGTACTGATGGATTACACGTTAGCATATTAATCTACCTGCTCGACTGCTACAGCATACACATACAGAGGGTGAATCAATCTTGCGCTTGTAATTGATGTCCTCGTCGCCTCGACTTCATTCGCTATGCCAGCGTGATGGAATCCATCATCAACAATCAGCGTCCTCCGTCACTCGGAAGCATTTTCGCTTCTTCGCGACCATCGGAATCATAGATAGCGTCAAGCAGGCTCTGCAGGTGAGCTGTGAGCCCACGTGACTCACGTCGTGAGCTCATGCCTGGGATATTTTGGAGACTCTGCGATGACACCGGTTGACATTACTAAAGCATTTGACCGTGTCCGGCATCCCACGCTAATTGCCAAGCTCCCATCATCCGGCATCCACTTTAATCTGCACGCTTGGGTTTCTCAGTTCCGAAGGGAGTGATCATCAGACCTAGTCGTTGATGGTGGCCAAATCGCTACCCCCTTCACCATTAACTCCGGCATTTCCGCGACGGTCTCCTTGGTCTCCGACATTATTTTTTTTTCTCTTTGTGAATCGCTTTGTCTTCCAACTCGCAATATAATCCACTCGTTTGTAGACGAGAGGGCGCATTGTGCATCATACTCGTTGAAATCACAAGCTGAAAGTAAGCGACATTTCGCCGCTCAACATACTCCACCGCCCCATCACCGCTCGCTTGAAACACGTACAGACTGATGATAAAAAAAACAACCCCAGTAAATTATAATATCGTGCAATACTGGGCAATGGCTACAATTGCTCCCATCGTATTTAACGCCGATATCATTATCCACAGTAAAACCTGGAGTCTCTTGGCACAATGCTCTAATCGGACCCTATCGTGGAGCGGCTGTGTGACGAATCTGGCGAATAATAATTTTTTTCCTATGCCAAAGCCTTTAACTCTGAGCGATCTTTACGACTACGCAACGCACACATTCGTACAGAGTCTAGAGTCCCGTTGTCGGTTGTGTTGTGGCCGAAACGTCGTGAGAATTTTATTGTTTTATTTTATTTTATTAATGTATTATTTTATTCTCATTCTACGTGACTTTACCGAAATAACCAAAGAAGTCCCGTTGTCATTCGGGGTGAAGCACTCGGTTGCTTTCATCGCTGTAAAATTAAAATTGAAGCGATCAAAGTGACTGGTAATCCAGCACTCACCGATTCACCCCAGTCACTCGCTCACTGATGGTCAGTCGCCTCCTCATCACTTCCCTATCGCTACTACTACCATGGTTACCGTTCCTGTGAACTTCACTCATTGATTTATCCACCAATGTTGAGGACTCGGTCTCTACCAGACACTGAATGTTTCGTTTAGGCCCTACTGTGTTCAACCACCACACTGCAGGTCACAACAGCCCACCCTCACCCACTAACTAACCAACTCACTCACCAACCAACTCGCTCACTCGCCACACTGCAGGTCACAACAACCCACCCTCACCAACTCACTCACCACACTGCAAGTCACAGCAACACCCCTTTATCCACACACACACACTAACACTGCAGGTCACAACCTCCGATTAGCATGGTTGGCTACGTACGGTGCGAAATAGGCTTAACATACATAAAACATACTCTCTCACCCACTCACTAACCCACTCACTCACCGAGCCACTCACTCACAACACAGCAGGTCACAACACGTATCTTTCTGATTTTTCCTCTCCCACACTGCTCCACTTTGGAATTGCCCTGCCATTTAGCACTCCTCCAAAGCCTTTACAAATAATAACTTTGCTCAATTTAAGATTGTTTCTACTCTCATCCAGCACGACCTTCAGAAGTGCTGTTTGTTGCTGGCTGCCTAACTTAAAAAAAACCTTTGCTCAGCAATTGTGCAAAAAGAAACAACCCTGTCAAGCCAGGAGATGTATCCATACGCGTTCAACTGTACACATATATACTGTACCATAGAGTTGTGTGGATAGCAGCATAGCAGACAGAGCACTTGACTCACAACACCGTCGTATCTCTGGGGTGGATAAAATTAGTAGCGAGTATGTGGAAAATCAAAAGTGGGTGTTCAAAAGAAATGAGTTCAAAAACTCATTTCTTTCGAACTGCTTTTTGTGTTTAGTTTGCTGTCCTTCCCCCGCACATCTGATTGTCACGGTTGGCAACGTACGGTGCGAAAGAAGTCCAACATACACGTACAACAGAGACTGGTCTCCAATTAACAAAAACCGTGCTGACTCTTATCAACGATGGTGGAAGACCCTCCACTAGGAGGGGTTGGCTCCTCTACAGTCGATCTTGGCCTACCTACTCTTTCACGTCGGCCAGACGTCTTGGAAGAAGAAGGGAGAAACCCACACTCTGTTCCACCACGAGTGTGCCAACCTGCCGCTCGACTAATCCCGGTGTACCACGTTCTACTGTTGGGTGGACAAAGGCGAGGGGGGATTTGATAAACTCGCACCACCGTTTCAACTGCCGTGCAGGTCTACTGAACCTGATGGATTGGCCTCCGGTTGAATAGTACCATAGGATCCATAATTAATGTTTTCTTTTGGGATGGGGGGGCGGGGAGTTAGATCGCGTAGATATATAGATCTGTCATTAAACCCGCCGCCACCACCCGACACAGCCAACTAGTAAGGGTTGTCACGTAAACAGAACGTGCCAATTCATTACTAGCACAGCACACCGGGGTGTGTTGGACAGCAAAGCCACGACATTTACTAATTGTCTGTGTCGGGTGGTGGCGGGTTTAACGACACATTTATATATTTACGCGATCTAACCCCCCCGCCTCCCCTCCATCCAAAAAAAAAAACCTGTATTATGGATGACATTGGTCGCAAACGCCTCCTACGTGTTCAAGTACCATAGGAACGTGGAGTTTCCACCACCGTCCGAGTAGGAACAAGCCGAGAAGAGGCGACGACGAGAGGCGATCTATAAACGCCAACTCTGCGGTGTTTTACGAACTCGCACAACAACAAGAACATAGAAGCTAAATTAAAAGCCAAGAGACGCGGGCCGTGGTTGAGCACATCAAATTAAGGGAGGCGACGGACCTCCGCGTCCGTGGAAAGGCGAGAGGCCCTCCCGTGTGTTGTTTTACTGCCGACTGATGCGAAAAACGATCCCTGGTCGCCCGTCGCAGCCACTCTGCGTGGCTGTTCCTGTGCCGTCTGGGCCACCACCACCACCACCCACCACCACCCAACCCCAGCCCCGGCAAATGTTCAGACGTGGCTACGAGACCACCTTGCAGGAATTTGGACGAAACAATTCTTGGTTATTTTCGAATCTGCCTCTTTGTTGTTCTCTCTCTCCCTCCGTCTCCATTCAGCAAAGTTACGTGAAACGCCCGGTCGTGCCGGCGACTTTCCCTTTAAATGACAGAGTGGAGCTTGAGCAACAAAGTCGGGCTGAGTGCCGAGTCAGCATCCAGCGGTTGTGTGCGTTTAATATAATTGCAGTGCGAGTGACATTCCTCCATTCCCGTGGCGACACGGAAGCCACCGCGATCTATGCACTTTGAAATCTCGATTGAAAACTCGTCTGTTAGCACCGAGTTGTTTCCAGGCCCATCGCGCGCACCTCCGATTTGGCACGGTTGGCTGCGTACGGTGCGAAATAAGTTCGACACACACACAGGCGCACCTCCGAACGGAGTCCGTCTCTTCTGGGTCGCTTTGACACCAGGAAAGGCGCGCGCACACACACACATAGAGGTAAGGGCTTTCAAAAGGTGCGGCTTGCAAAAGATGCGGCTTGCCTACCCCCCCCCCCCCCTTGCCAAATGCTCACGATCACGTGCGTACGCTGAACTTCTTTGGCGCCGCACGTGTCGTCAAACCCGTGAAAAAAATCGCTTCGCGGCCACGCCGCCCCGGTGTTGGCGTCACTGTACCTTGGCGTGAGCCGGTGTGGCCACGACTCCTTGGCCCGGTGCGGCTGTGTGGATGTCGATGACGGTGGCGGTGGTGGCGGTGGCGGTGGTAGTTCGCCCGCGCACAAATTGCTCACGGGGTGCGGGGGGTGGGGGCGGTTGACGCGGGTCGGCGGCGTCGGGAAAAGTTCGCCGGGACGCGTTGTCCCCTCGTCACTGCTTCATCGCCAGTCGAACGTGGTGGGGTGGGCGGCGGTGGTGGTGGTGGTGGTGGGGGGGGGTCTGGCGAAGCGTGGCACGCGCCTGGTGGAACCGTGCCACCGGCGAACGGGAGGAGAAGGAAGGGGGGTGGGGGGGGGTGTTGACGTCCGCGACTTTTGAGGCTCGGTTGACTCCAAAACTAAAAGAAAAAAAATTAAATGAACATCTTAAAACTGTGTAGGGATCGTCCGCTGTCGGTCGGTTGCCTCTGGAACTATAAATAGGGCTCGCCCGGTCCGAAAATATCCTTTGACCCACTGGTTGGACCGAAGGCACAAGCCATACACACACACACCTAAAGCCTAAACCGTACCAATAGCTGGAAAGGAAATGAGGAGTGGTGTGGGTGGAGGAGAGAGAGAGATGGGGGGGGGAGGGGGTTGGTCAGTGAACGGAAATTGGTCTCATCGGCTGGTGGCAGGCGACACGGGAAAGGTCCTTCTTCTCCTCTATCGAGCGACCACGGGACTCGAGGCAGTCGTGAGCGGAGAGCAACAGGCACCGTCATCCTCATCCTCCTCCTCCGTGCGCTGAAATTGCAGCGCGCGCGCGCGCGACGCCCATCTCCCTCCCTCCCTCTCTCTGTCGACGACGACGACACTCCCGACGGGAAAGTTTCGACTTGGAAACTCCGAAACGCGTTGGTGGTGGTAGTGGTGGGGGGGTGTTGGGGGGGTGGTAGGGGGGTTAAACAGCCGCCCCGGTACGGATCACATGCTGGCCCTCTCGCTCGTTCTCTCGTTCTCTCGCTCGCTCCGCGGCTACCGCCCTCGATAACCTCCCCCGCCACCCCACCGAAAGAGAATGAAGTCAGCCCTAATGCGCATCGCGCGCGTTGGCAAATGCATCTGCCCCGAGAGGGCGTAAAAGGAAGAGAGATGGTGGTGGGGGAGGTGGAAGAGAGGGAGGGATGGTGGGGGGAAGGGAGGGATGGTGGGGGGAAGGGAGGGATGGGGGGGCGGTGGGGGGCGAAGGGAGGGTTGGGGGGAAGTGATGGGATGGTGGGGGGGGAGAGACAAGAGGCTTACCGTGGAGCTGTGGGAGGTGGAGGAGGGAGGAGACTGGCTGGTGGAGTTTGTGGATGTACAGCGGCAGTGGAGCGGTGAAAGCCTCCGAATCCGGGTTCGGTTCCCGCTCACGGCCACCAAACACCAGCACACGATTATCTGAACCGGTCCTGGGCCTCCCCTAGGTCGACTCAGACTCAATTGACTCGACTTAGTGTGATGTGTCACAACAACAAAAACATCCCCACTTATGGGAGACAAAGGCGGCCGGGCGTGGTGCTGGCCACACACCCCGTCGCGTGCAGTTCCGACCTTCGTAGACGCTACTCGTTAGCAGCACTTGCCCCAACAGTCTGTTGCAGTCTGGGGTGTGTGTGTGTGTGTGGTGTGTGTGTGTGGTGTGTGTGTGTGGTGTGTGTGTGTGTGGTGTGTGTGTGTGGGTGGTGTGTGTGTGTGGTGGGTGTGTGGGGTGGGTGTGGGGTGTGTGTGGTGTGTGTGTGTGTGTGGTGTGTGTGTGTGTGGTGTGTGTGTGTGGTGTGTGTGTGTGTGGTGTGTGTGTGTGTGGTGTGTGTGTGTGTGGTGTGTGTGTGTGGTGTGTGTGTGTGTGGTGTGTGTGTGGTGTGTGTGTGTGTGGTGTGTGTGTGTGTGGTGTGTGTGTGTGTGGTGTGTGTGTGGTGTGTGTGTGTGTGTGGTGTGTGTGTGTGGTGTGTGTGTGTGTGGTGTGTGTGTGTGGTGTGTGTGTGGTGTGTGTGTGGTGTGTGTGTGTGTGGTGTGTGTGTGGTGTGTGTGTGGTGTGTGTGTGGTGTGTGTGTGGTGTGTGTGGTGTGTGTGTGGTGTGTGTGTGGTGTGTGTGTGTGGTGTGTGTGTGTGGTGTGTGTGTGTGGTGTGTGGGGTGTGTGTGTGGTGTGTGTGTGGTGTGTGTGTGGTGTGTGGTGTGTGTGTGGTGTGTGTGTGGTGTGTGTGTGGTGTGTGTGTGGTGTGTGTGTGGTGTGTGTGGGGCGTGTGTGGGGTGTGTGTGTGTGTGGTGTGTGGTGTGTGGTGTGTGTGTGTGGTGTGTGTGTGGGGTGTGTGTGGTGTGTGGGGTGTGTAGTGTGTGTGTTGTGTATGTGGTGTGTATGTGGTGTGTATGTGTGTGGTGTGTGTGGTGTGTGGGGTGTGTGTGGGGGGGGGGGTGTGGGGGGTGTGGGGGGTGTGTGGGGGGGGGGGTGGGGGGGGGTGGGGGGGTGTGTGGGGGGGGTGTGTGTGGGGGGGTGTGTGTGGGGGGGGTGGGGTGTGTGTGGGGTGTGTGTGGGGTGTGGGGGGGTGGGTGTGTGTGTGTGTGGGGTGTGTGTGTGTGGTGTGTGGGGTGTGTGTGTGGGGTGTGTGTGGGGTGTGTGGGGTGTGTGGGGAGTGTGTGTGTGTGGTGTGTGTGGTGTGTGTGTGTGTGGTGTGTGTGTGTGGTGTGTGTGTGTGTGGTGTGTGTGTGTGTGTGGTGTGTGTGTGTGTGGTGTGTGTGTGTGGTGTGTGTGTGGTGTGTGTGTGTGGTGTGTGTGTGTGTGTGGTGTGGTGTGTGTGGTGTGTGTGTGGTGTGTGTGTGGTGTGTGTGTGTGGTGTGTGTGTGGTGTGTGTGTGTGGTGTGTGTGTGTGGTGTGTGTGTGGTGTGTGTGTGGTGTGTGTGTGTGTGGTGTGTGTGTGGTGTGTGTGTGGTGTGTGTGTGGTGTGTGTGTGGTGTGTGTGGTGTGTGTGTGGTGTGTGTGTGTGGTGTGTGTGTGTGGTGTGTGTGTGTGGTGTGTGGGGTGTGTGTGTGGTGTGTGTGGGGTGTGTGTGTGGTGTGTGTGTGGTGTGTGGTGTGTGTGTGGTGTGTGTGTGGTGTGTGTGTGGTGTGTGTGGGGGGGGGGGTGTGTGTGTGTGTGGTGTGTGGTGTGTGTGTGGGGTGTGTGTGTGTGGTGTGTGTGTGGGGTGTGTGTGGTGTGTGGGGTGTGTAGTGTGTGTGTTGTGTATGTGGTGTGTATGTGGTGTGTGTGTGTGTGGTGTGTGTGTGTGGGGGGTGTGTGTGGGGGGGGGGTGTGTGGGGGGGGTGTGTGTGGGTGTGGGGGGGGGTGGGGGGGGGGTGTGTGGGGGGGTGTGTGGGGGGGGGGGGGGGGGGGTGGGGGGGTGTGTGTGTGTGGGGGGGGGTGTGTGGGGTGTGTGTGGGGTGTGTGTGTGGGGTGTGTGGGGTGTGTGTGTGGGGTGTGTGTGGGGTGTGTGGGGTGTGTGGGGAGTGTGTGTGTGTGGTGTGTGTGGTGTGTGTGTGTGTGTGGTGTGTGTTTGGTGTGTGTGGGGGGTGTGTGTGTGGGGTGTGTGTGTGGTGAGGGTGTGTGTAGAGTGGGGGTGGGGTGTGGGTGTGGGGGGTGTGTGGGGGGGTGGGTGGGGGTGTGTGTGGGGGGGGTGTGTGTGTGGGGGGGTATGTGGGGTGTGTGGTGTGTGTGTGTGTGGTGTGTGTGTGTGGTGTGTGTGTGGGGTGTGTGGGGGGTGTGTGTGTGGTGTGTGTGTGTGTGTGTGGGGGAGGGGTGTGTGTGGTGTGTGTGGGGTGTGTGGGGGGTGTGTGTGTGGGGGGGGGGGTGGATTTTTGTCTTTTCTTTTGAAGTGATCACCGTTCCTGGGGAAACGCTTGGGCTGCTCTTGGTGGCAGACTGTACGGTCATTGGAGGCGCTGGGATGTAATGAATCAAATTAGGGTTTAATGACGGTGGCAATAGTTGCTGGCGAAAGGCGGATCGGGGGGGCCCGTGTGTGGCACTCGGGGGGGGGGCCCGCTTGTGGCACTCGGGAGTCCACAACACCGTTGAGTAATCTTGCGTGTACTGTAATTTATCCCATTTACTATTTGTTTTTAAAATGTGCCCAGCCCATATCAGATGTAACCCCTAGGCAGCCGCACGGGAATTGCAGGAAAGCGATTCGCTGATAACTGTAGTTTAAATTGTACGTTATATAAAAAAACGTAAAACTGTTTCAACGTTGTCGATTGAGTCATACGGAAGGGGGAAATTGCGTTATTCTTCGGTTACAAACTTGAATCCTCGAGTGTATACTGAATAAAACTGGCGTTCAGGAATGTTTCCCCCCCCCCCCCCTACAAATTGTTATACTGAAGCGTATCTCGTAGCCATAATAGGATAGATACAGTGTAAACGCCTTTTTATTTATTTTTTACCAGCTAATTAATTAACTTAGTGTGTTGTTGCTTGTACTCTGGTCACCCGTTCTAAACAAAAAACATTTCGAACGCACTCGCGTGTATGTGATGTGAGGCATGGACACGTGTGTGTGTGATGTGAATCATGGACACGTGTGTGTGTGATGTGAATCATGGACACGTGTGTGTGATGTGAATCATGGACACGTGTGTGTGATGTGAATCATGGACACGTGTGTGTGATGTGAATCATGGACACGTGTCTGTGTGTGATGTGAATCATGGACACGTGTGTGTGATGTGAATCATGGACACGTGTGTGTGACGTGAAGCATGGACACGTGTGTGTGTGATGTGAATCATGGACACGTGTGTGTGTGATGTGAATCATGGACACGTGTGTGTGATGTGAAGCATGGACACGTGTGTGTGACGTGAAGCATGGACACGTGTGTGTGTGATGTGAATCATGGACACGTGTATGTGATGTGAGGCATGGACACGTGTGTGTGATGTAAATCATGGACACGTGTGTGTGTGATGTGAATCATGGACACGTGTGTGTGATGTGAATCATGGACACGTGTGTGTGTGTGACGTGAATCATGGACACGTGTGTGTGATGTGAATCATGGACACGTGTGTGTGATGTGAATCATGGACACGTGTGTGTGATGTGAATCATGGACACGTGTGTGTGATGTGAATCATGGACACGTGTGTGTGTGTGTGATGTGAATCATGGACACGTGTGTGTGATGTGAATCATGGACACGTGTGTGTGATGTGAATCATGGACACGTGTGTGTGATGTGAATCATGGACACGTGTGTGTGTGTGATGTGAATCATGGACACGTGTGTGTGTGTGTGATGTGAATCATGGACACGTGTGTGTGATGTGAATCATGGACACGTGTGTGTGATGTGAATCATGGACACGTGTGTGTGATGTGAATCATGGACACGTGTATGTGATGTGAGGCATGGACACGTGTGTGTGTGTGATATGAATCATGGACACGTGTGTGTGATGTGAATCATGGACACGTGTGTGTGTGACGTGAATCATGGACACGTGTGTGTGATGTGAATCATGGACACGTATGTGTGATGTGAATCATGGACACGTGTGTGAGATGTGAATCATGGACACGTGTGTGTGTGATGTGAATCATGGACACGTGTGTGTGATGTGAATCATGGACACGTGTGTGTGATGTGAATCATGGACACGTGTGTGTGATGTGAATCATGGACACGTGTGTGTGATGTGAATCATGGACACGTGTGTGTGATGTGAATCATGGACACGTGTGTGTGATGTGAATCATGGACACGTGTGTGTGTGATGTGAATCATGGACACGTGTGTGTGTTGTGAATCATGGACACGTGTGTGTGATGTGAATCATGGACACGTGTGTGTGTGTGATGTGAATCATGGACACGTGTGTGTGATGTGAATCATGGACACGTGTGTGTGTTGTGAATCATGGACACGTGTGTGTGATGTGAATCATAGACACGTGTGTGTGTGTGATGTGAATCATGGACACGTGTGTGTGTTGTGAATCATGGACACGTGTGTGTGATGTGAATCATGGACACGTGTGTGTGATGTGAATCATGGACACGTGTGTGTGTGTGATGTGAATCATGGACACGTGTGTGTGTGTGTG